AAGCAAATTGGTATAAAAGATGCTAGCAGAGTGATGTACGACCAGAAAAGCAAGATGTAGTGGGGCAAGAAATAGCCACTTAGATAGTTGTAGGCTCTGTTGGTATCCAGATAATGTAAAGAAAACAAGAGAAAGCCCCCCCCCCAAATGTGGATGAATTCTTTAATAAGCATTTATTAAGTGCCTATTTTATGCCAGGCCACTATTTGTTTGTCTACTAGGGAGAAGGAGAAGGAAAAGAAGGAGAAAGTGGAGAAGAAGAAGAAGAAGAAGAAGAAGAGAAGAAGAAGAAGAAGAAGAAGAAGAAGAAGAAGAAGGAGGAGGAGGAGGAGGAGGAGGAGGAGGAGGAGGAGGAAGAGAAGGAGAAAGAGAACTCTGAAATCTAAGCCTTGTGATGCTGCTTTTCTCTCAGAGGGCATTTTCAGAGTAGACCTTCTCTCCATGTATTCTCCATCTTTAACGTCACAGCTAGGAAGGGATGGGAAAGAAAATTTCTTCCCATGGAATTTCCTTTAGACTTCTGAGTATTATTCTCTACACGCCTCCCCCCTCCAAACCCACAAAACAAAGAGCAGATCCAGATTCTCAGTGGGTTATGTGTCCCTTATGCATTTGAGGCCTGAAAGAGTCCACTGACCAAGGGTTTTCAATTGATTCAGCTAATTAGCCTGAATGAGGTCAAGGGTATTCTAGGTTCAGAAAAACATCAAGCTGTTTTCCGATCATTTTCAATTCAGAAGAATCCAAAACACATTTTCGCATTAAGTTCTAAACCCATGCAGATTCCAAAAGAAATTAAATGCATGTGTTTCTGATTCATTCACACTTAACTCATCAAAGTGCTATTTGATATCCAAGAAGCCTTCCGAGCCTCCATGAAAAGTTATTGAAAGTATGTTTTTCTTTGAACCCAGAAGTCACATTTTCCCAAGAATAAGAATAAATGAAGAACCAATTGAGTTTGAATAGATTTGAAACACTGCCAAAGCTCCCCTTTTCTCAGCTCTAATTGTCCTCAAGAAAGCCCAATTGCTGTAGGTCTGCTTTCATTAACCTTTTCTGTCTTCCCATAGACTTTTTTTTCCTTTGAGTAATTAGGTTAGAGAAGATGGCAGGTGGGATGAGAGTTTTAAACAAATATTTGGAAGATATTGTGTGTGGTGACCTTTGGCCTAATCATTGACCTCTTTCTGTGATGACACTCTCAGTCACACATCTTGAGAGTCAGTACAATGGGAAGAACATTAGCTTTGGAGTCAGAGATTCCAGACACTGGGCTAAGATTCCACCTTGATAATTAATACCTGTGTGACTTCAGGCAAGTCTATTAGCCTCTCTGAGACTTCAACTAGATGACTGCTGAGATCCCTTCTATCACAAAATCTGAGATCCCAGGACTCTTGGAGGGCTGACTAGGCTGCCGCAAGGTGGTATTATTGATTGGTGCCCAAAGACTCAGTCTGTGCCCAAATCCCCATGAGACATCCCTGTCTTGGGCTAAGACACTATATCTATTGTTCTGATGCCCCAGCCCGATCTAGTAAGTAGCCTTGGGACACAGAAGGGGTTTTTATTACAAGTGTGTGTATAGGTCTTTTATTACAAGTGTGTTTAACTCACACAAGCAAAAACATTGAGCCTAACTTGTGTTACCTAGAACCTAAGGAAAGGGGTGAGAGGCCAAGGGAAGGGGGTATTCAGGCAAAGGTTAGCACTTGATCTCACATGCCAGATGGGGAAAGATACAAGTAGGTTTCAGGAATGAGTTTAAAACTTAATGAGAAATGTGCCTTGCATCCTTCTGAGCTATAAGTGGTTGAAAAGCAGCATGAAGCTTTATTGAACCTAGAAGAATCAGAAAGCAACCAGGTGCTACCATTCTGAAGGCTGGAGGAGGAGGAGAAGGAGGAAGGCGATTTAGAGATGGTCTTTAGAGAGGCCACTTGGCAGAAGTTTCACCAAACTTTCAGTCCTATTTGTTAGGTGGGATATCTGAGTCCTGTGTCTTTTTCACCAAAGCAGCTCAAATGACATGGCTAAGAGCCATGGATTTTGCAGAGATTAGAACCCAGTCCTAACTCCCTTTTCACCTCAGGTGTCTCAGGTGGGAAGACTATCTGGGGCTAACAGATGTCTGATTTCACCGACCTATTCTCTGACTTCATGAACAGAAAACAGCATCTAATAAATAGCCAGTGAAAATAACCCATAGAAGTATCTACCTATGAATGTGCCTTGCAAGATGTTGCTGTTCAGTCCTTTCAGTTGTGTCTGACTCTTCATGACTCCATGCGGGCTTTTCTTGGCAAAGAGACTAGAATGGTTTGTCATTTCCTTCTCCAACTCATTTTATAGATAAGGAACCAAGGCAAACAAGGTTAAGTGATTTGCCCAGGGTCACACAACTAGTAAGTGTCTGAGGCTGGATTTGAACCCAGATCTTCCTGACTCCAGGCCCAGCACTCTATCAAGTTTGCCACACAGTGGCAAATAGCTCAAAGATGTAAGCACCTTACCCCATTTTGGCATGAGATCCTTTAGGGATCCCTCATTTGGGTATCAATAAAAACAGGTAAGGGAAGAGGTGGCCTTCATGGGATCATTGTAGGATTCAGCTTGAGAAGAAAGAAAGGAAGGAAGGAAAGAGAAATAAAAATGAAAGAAAGAGAAAGACATGGGGCAGCTAGATGGTGCAGTGGATAGAGCATCAGCCCTGGATTCAGAAGAACCTGAGTTCAAATCTGGCCTCAGATACATAACACTTGACAGCTATGTGACCCTGGGCAAGTCACTTAAACCTACTGCCTAACCTAAAAAAAAAAAAGACAGCTCAAATACTGCTTTCTGCTGGAAGCCTTTCTGGGCCCCTCTCTACAAGATTATCTCTCCTTATCTCTATATAGTATGTATAATATATTATGTACATAACATATTATATATCACATATCACATATATATTATATTTAACAAGTCACATATATTATATGATATATAAATACATATAATAAATTTATCTCCCATTTACCCTCTATATAAAATTATATGCACAAATGTTTGTATGCTCTTTTCTTCGATAGAAGATGTACTCTATGAGGGCAAGGACTATTTTTTGCCTTTCTTTGTATTACCAGTGCTTAGCACAATGCCTGGCACATAGTAAGCACTTAATGGGGAAGGGAATAAGCATTTATATAGCACCTACTGTATAGCAGGCATTTAGCTAAGCACCTTTACAAATATGATCCTATTTGATCCTCACAACAATCCTGAGAGGTGAGTGCTACTATGATCCCCATTTTATAACTCAGGAAACTGAGACAGACGGAGGTTAAGTGACTTGTCCAGAGTTACACAGCTTGTAAATGTTCTAAGGCCAGCTTTAAGCACAAGACTTCCTGATCCCATGCTCACCATGCTTCCCGGCTGCCCAGGTGTGTTTATTGAATGTCTGCCTACCTGACTGGCAGAGAAGTGAAGTGATTTGCCCAAGGTCAGAAAGCTAGTTGGTGGCAAAGCCAGGACTAGAGGCCCAGTTTCTTTATTCCTCATTTTACAGATCTGGAAACTGAGGCCCAAATAGTTTAGCTGACTTAGTCAAAGGCATTCAGGGAAGAAGCAGCACAGCCAGAATTCACTCTTTCAAATCTGTCTTCTCTTTCCTCAGTCTACCTTCTGTTGCCATTGAAATTAAACTTCATTTATTTGACAATTTTGCTTCAAGCCAGCTCTTTCTAGGTTATCTGGAATGATATAATTGTTCTAATTTGTTTTTGCTGTTGACAGATAATAACTGTATTACCCCCTTGTTATATGCACCAATGACCAGCAGTACAGGTGAAAGGTTTTTTCTTAGCTGTCCATTCCTCCAGCCTCCTGCATTTCCACATGGCTCATTTCAGCAGCAGGGGAGAGGAGAGAGGAAGAGAGGGTGAGGGAGAGGAAAAGGGAGACAGAGAGGCAAAAGGAGAGGGACAAGGAGACAGAGACAGAGAGACAGAGAGACAAAAACACAGAGATACACAGAGAGATGGAGAAAAAGAGACAGAGTGACAGAGATGGAGAGAAAGAGAAAAGAGAGAGAGATCAGAGAGAAAGAGACAGAAAGAAAGACACGGAGGTGAGGGGGGAGGAGACAGGAGGCAGGGAGGTGGACACACACACACACACACACACACACACACACACACACACACACACACACACACGGCGGGACGTGGGGGAGACGTCTTCATTTGTCTAACAGAAATGGAAAGACATGACCAGAAGGAGCAGATTCCATCAGGGTGGAAATAATAGACAAGACAGAGTGGGAGCCATAAACCCTTGACTGAAATGGCATTAGAGAAAGCTGAGTTACTTTGAAAAGCAAAAGATCTTTTCAATTGCTTTTCCACTGATTGTAAAACCAAGGAGACAACGAATTTACAGTTAGCAGAGGACGCTGGGGATGCTGACTGCCTTCCAGCAGTGCATCAGCTGAGATCTACTGTGTACGTCAGCCTCATTCCCAAACTGCTCCCATATTCGTCTGAACAAGCTCTGTTAATATTACTTACCATGGGCATGTGGTAAGGGGGAGGGGACAGGAGTTGCCAATACTACAAATACACATCACCTGTGCCCACTGTCTAAATTCAGTGGACAGACAAGACACAATAATGTAGTAAGTATAGGAAAGTACTATCTCAAGAGAGACGAGATGTTAAAACTACCCTAACTGGGAAGGTGGAAACAATAATTGATATTGATGTGATGCTTATAGTTACGAGGTATTTGTGGGGTGTGTGTGTGTGTGTGTGTGTGTGTGTTGGAGGGGAGTTGGGGGGTTGATGGGTAGTGATAGTGATTAAGAAAGACAAGATCACGTTTAGAAGTGAGAAAATTTTAAAAATATAAAATATTGAGCAGAGGAAAGGTCAGCAGATGTCAGACAAATGGGCTGTCTTGATACTATTGTGTAAAAGTTGATAAGACAATTTCGTAGAAAACATAAAATATACCTGATGGAACTTCTACGATCCGTGGTCAGTCCTCTCTTTCTGTTCTTAGTCGTTCTGTTCATCCTGTCAGTTGATTAAGTTCACTTAAAAAACAAACAACACAACCAAAATACGTGTCACTGGATCTGTCCTGTGAGGTTTGGCTGAGCAGGTATAACTCATTTATAGATAAAGATACCATGAGTTAAGTGACCTTCCCAAGATCATGTAGCTAGTAAGTGGCAGAGAGCCTAATTCCACTTAGTCCAAGTTCAGGGCTCTGCTGTGACATCAAATTTCTTTCTTAAACCAACCAATAATCCAATTTGGTCTAATAAGTAAAAACCAGCAAATTAAAGAATGTACAACAGGTCACTGTGGACCACTTTCTATCATCATGTTTTCCTTATTTATTTAGTGAGGGGTTAAAAGGTAGTACTAATGAGGACCAGGCTGTAGATTCAAACCACACACAGGCCAGTTAGCTTAGTTACATTTAGAGGCTGTAGATCATATTCCTAGCTTTGGCCAACCAGCAGGAGAGAGTATCGGAATCCTAAACAGCAATTCTTTCAGCTGGGGCAAAAACAGGGCGGGGGGGGGGGCAGGGACAGCTTGGCAATGGCAAATGTAAAGAACAGTCCAGCCCCAGATGGCCATGCTAGGAGAAGAGACAGCTAATCAGGTAGAAAATCTGGCCCTCACTCCCCCTACCAGGCAGCTAGATGGCACAGTGGAAAGAGCATGGGGCTTGGAATCAGCCTCAGACACTTAGTAGATGTGTGACCCTGGGCAAGTCACTTAACCTTGTTTGCCTCATTTTCTCATCTGTAAAATACCCCAAACTGAGTCTCTGAGAGTCAGAAATGACTGAATAACAAAGTTCCTCCTACTCCATGGTTTGGAGGGAAAGTCAGCCCCAAAGGAGGGTCAACCCATACCTGAAAAAAAAAATCTCTATGACACACTAGACAACGAGTCTTTCAGCCATTTTCCCTGTGTTTCCACTTTCCAACTCATCTCTGTTTCCCCTGTTTGATGTGATGCTATCTATTCCTCTTTCCCTACTTGCCTTCTCTGCTATTTCTTTTAGGATGATTGATTATGGAGGGTGAGGAGGTGGGGGATGGGGTGGAGTAGGAGGCAGCAAAATATGGGCAGATATTAGGGATTTTCTTTTTCAAATCGCTAAGGCAGTTATTCAATAAGCATTTATTAAGCAGCTAATGTATATCAGGCACTACTCCAGGGATACAAAGAAAGACAAAAGACAGTCCTTGCCCTAGAGGAACTTACAATCTAAGAGGTGAGATAACATGCAGACAACCATGTACAAACAAGCTATATTCAGGATAAATAGGGGGTAATAAACATGGGGAAGGTATTAGACTTAAGAGGAACTGGGAAAAGCTAGGGAAGCCAGGAGGTAGAGATGAGGAGGGGGAACATTCTAGGAATGAGGGACAACCAGTAAAAATGCCTGGAGCCAAGAGATAAGGGAGCATCAAGGAGGCCAATGTTATTGGATTGAAGAGAATGTGGGAGGAGAGTGTGTGTAAGGGATAAGAAGACTAGAAAAATGGGAGTGGAGGTGGCAGGTTAAGAAAGGCTTAAAATACTTTCTGTTTGATACCGTAGGTGGTAGAGTCACTGGAGTTTACCGTGTGTGTGTGTGTGTGTGTGTGTGTGTGTGTGTGTGTGTGTGTGCGCGTGTGTGTGTGATATTGAGAACTGTGCTTCAGGAAAGTCACATTGGCAGCTGAGTGGATGGACTAGAATGGAGAGGGATCTGAGACTGGTAGACTTGCTAGGCTTGAGGTGATAAGGGCATGCACGAAATCAATGGCAGTGTCCGAGGACAGAAGGGAGCATATTTATAAGATGTCACAGTGATGAAATTGACAGGCCTTGGCAACAGATTGGATATGGAAGTTGAGAGTGAGGTGTCAAGGATGACATCTGGATTGTAAGCCTGAGGGACTGGGAAGATGGTGGTGGCCTCAATAGTAATAAGGAAGTTTGGAAAATGGAGGGAGGGTTGGGGAAAAAATAATGAGTTCAGTGGTTGACCTGTTGAGTTTAAGATATCTCCAGGTCATCCAGTTTGAGATGCCTAATAGGTAATTGGAGATGCAAAGCAGGAGATAAGTACTAGATAAGGTGATCCAGGGTCATCAGCATAGAAAAGGTATTTGAATCCATGGGAGCTGAAGAGATCAACAAATGAAATAGTATGGAGGACTAGGACAGAACCCTGTGGGACAGTCAGTTAGGCATGACCTGGATGAAGATCTAGTAAAAGACATTGGAGTGGTCAGATAGAAAGAGAACCAGGAAAGGGTGGTGCCCTAAAAATCTAAGGAAAAGAGAATATCCAGGAGAAGAAGGTGATTGACAGTATCAAGCCTATAGAGAGGTCAAGAATAATGAGGATGGAGAAAAGGTCAATAGATTTGGCAATTAAGAGGTCACTGGTAACTTTGGAAAGAGAAGTTTCAGTTGAATGATGAGATCAGAAGCCAGAGAACAGAGAGATAATAAGAAAGTGAGAGGAGAGGGGGGTAGAGGCATTTGTTATAAATGGCCTTCTCAAAGAGCTTGCCACAAAAGAGAGGAAAGATATAGGATGATAGTTATTAAAGAATAATGTGAAGGACTTTTTTTTTTTACTTAGGAAAGACATGGGCACATTTATGGGTAGTGAGGAAGCAACCAGTGGACAGGAAGAAACTGAAGATAAGAGAGAGTAGGAATGATATAGGACATTCTGCTGGAGGAGGCAGAATGGAATGGTAATGCTTGTGGAGGTAGAGGGGTTTGCCTTGGTGAGAAGGGCCACCTCTTCATGGGAGACAAAGGTGACTGAAGAGACAGTAGAAGAATGCATATGAGTGATATGAAATAGGCAGATGGGAGAAGAGGGAGCTCTTGGGGAATGGTCTAATGTTTTTTAGTAAAATATGAGGCAAAGTTCTCAGCTACAGATGAAGGAGGAGAGCTGTGGGAGGTTTGAGGAGGGATGAAGAGGTCTGGAAGAGCCATTGTAATGAGTGGGAGAATAAGTTAATTGGAGAGACATAGAAGGATTGCCTTGCTGCAGTGAGAGCCAAGTTAAGGTTATGTATTATAAATTTGTAGTGGACACAGTCAGAATGGTTGCATTATTTTCTTGACCTTCTAGTTTATCAGTTAAGACTGATTATGGAGGGTGAGAAGGTAGGGGGGCAGGGTGAGGAAGGAGTCAATAAGATTAGAGAAGATACTAGGTCCCTTCTTTTTCAAATCCATACAGGTTGTCTTTGTTGAACACCATGTAAAATTCAAAATGTTAACGCAGGCCCCCAGTTTCTCTTTTTGCTGATGCCTATGCTTTTCAACTATATTTATAGGCATCTCTGCTATAATGAGACATGTGTGTTCTCCCCAAAAAAGCAAAATCACCCAATAAAAATCACAGAAATAAAGATAAAAAAAATTAGAAAATAAATTTTTGAAATTTAAAAAATAAAATAAAAATCGTAGAGCTTATGGGGAGAAATGGAGTTAGGGTCACAATGCTTGTAAACTTTGTCAGTGACACATTGAAAAAAAAAGAGAGATAGGAATCCACTAAAAAATAGTAGCACCATTTCATATGTGTTAAGTGGTTAAGAAATATAGAAATACTACAACAAATAACGGCCTTATCTTTGGTGTTGGCCCTTGCTGAGCCTAAGCTCCAGACTTCATAAGCAAATTAGGCAGGCCCAACTCAGGATGTCAGGCTGAAAGGCCACAGTGGAAGAGAGTGGGAGTGGGGCTAGGGTCAGTGAGGGTGGTATGGACCAGCTCTTCTCTGATCATAGGTCCTACTGGACCAGAAGATTTATAATAAATATGCTACTTTACCTTGACAAAGACCGGAAGTAAGCTTATAGAAGTAGGCATCAGAAGTGCTACATCTTGTGATTTGTTGTGAAGTGGTGCTGTTTTCTGCTTTCTTGCTGTTTCTTACAGAAGAAATTGTGCAAAGGCAGACTTGAAACTTGAGTCATGCTCAGAATATTCCTCAATACGTCAATGGTGTTGGAACAAAGTCACATTTCCAAAACATGAGTTACAGCAGAACTGAGTGTATTTGAAATTGGGCTGCACTATAAGTCAATCTTATTACGTACTGGAAAAGAAAAGCAAGTGGAACATCAGAGACACTGGAAATTTCATGTGTAATCCTCTTATTCTGTTCTACCTTGCATATGCAAATGGCCGTTCTATTTGTTGTTAGGTAAGTTAAGAATAAAAAAATATTTAATTAGAAAAAATGGGGTTGTAGGTGATACATTCAGGGCAGGTTCTTCCCCTACCTCCCACCATGTGAATTTTCCACAGGAAACTATATTATTGAAGAAAACTAATACACTTTAGAATTCTTATTAGCTTAAAATTGGCTAAATTAGAATAAAATCCAGCCACTAACTCCTGCCCAGCATTTTTTAGTGCTGTCACCAATGGAATAGCAGCATTTGCAGTCAAACACGATTTTGTAGCGGCACAGAAGAGCCTGATGTTACTTAGTTTCTTTTATTAAAAAAGCTTAATTTGATTTAGGCCTTACTAGAGCACCAACACAGGGAGCTAGATGGCTCAGTGGGTAGAGTGCTGGGCCTGGAGTCAGGAAGACTTCAGTTCAAATCCAGCCTCAGACACTTACCAGCTGTGTGACCCTGAGCAAGTCACTTAACCTCTGTTTGCCTTAACCCACTGGAGAAGAAAATGACAAAGAATCCAATATCTTTGCCAAGAAAACCCCATGGACAGTATTAGTGTGCTATGGTCCACAAAGTCACAAAGGATCAGTGACAACTTGATGACTGAACAGCAAACAGCATCACCATTATCACGGAAGTGGCCATACTTGATTAACCAAACTACTTTTTAATCACTTATTAATGTTCTGTCTTTATACCAAAAGAATATGGAAAGCCACCTGGTGAGGTCCTGAGAACAGTCCTATTTAAGAGGCTTTAAGGTTAAGTAACTTGCCCATGGTCATACAGCTAGTAAGTGTCAAGTGTCTGAGGCTGGATTTGAACTTGGGTCCTTCTGACTCCAGGGCTGGCACTCTATTCTCTGCACCACCTAGCTGCCCCTGGAGAAGCTTTATTCTTAACTAGGCTCCTGTAAATTGGTGATTTTTTTGGGGGGGTTCTTTATCACAAGGACATATCAGTCATTGCCCATAATAGCTGAGCCTTGTTGGAACTTCTTGCCCATAATGGCTGAGGCAAGTGAGCTACCATTTAATGAGGAAACCTCAGGACATCTGAATACTCTTATACTTTTGCCTAGATACAGGGATATATCAGGAGGTGTGACTTGGTTGAAAAAGGAAAGGAGGTATAATGGTGATAACACATAGGGGTGTGCTGGAGGCAATTTGAGAGGATCATTAAATTTTCAGTATGAGCGTTTATACCTCAGAAATTGGTAAATAGGATAAATCAAGGATTGATTTATTATTTTTATTGATTGTCTAGCCTTTAGAACATAATGGAGATGCCCAAAGGACAACCAAACTGTGCATACTCTTTGATCCAGCAATACTACTACTAGGTCTGTATCCAAAAGAGATCATAAAAAAGGGAAAAGGACTTACAGGTGCAAAAATATTTATAGCAGCCCTATTCATGGTGGCAAAATGTTGGAAATTGAGGGGATGCCCATAAATTAGGGAATGGCTGAACAAGCTGTGGTATATAAATGTAACAGTATACAATTGTTCAATAAGAAATGATGAGCAGGCGGATTTCAGAAAAATCTGGAAAAATTTGTACGAACTGATGCAAACTCAAGTGAGCAGAACCAGGAGAACATTGTACACAATATCAGCAACATTGTGTGATGATCAACTATGAATGACTTCATTCTTCTCAGCAGCACAATGATCCAAGACAAATACAAAGGACTCATGATGGAAAATGTTATCCATATCCATGTAAAGAACGGATGGACTCTGAATGCTGATTGAAGCATACTTTTTTCACTTACTTTATTTTTTAATTTTTTTCCCTTTGATCTATTTCTGCTTTCACGACTATGACTAATATGGAAATATGTTTTACATAACTGCACATATATAGCCTATATCAAATTGCTTACTATTTTAGGAAGAGGGGAGGGAAGGGAGAAAAATGTGGAACTCAAAATATTGTAAAAATTAATGCTAAAAATTGTCTTGATATATAATTGAGAAAAATACCATTAAAAAAGGAACATAATGGAGAAAATGTTAATAATGAAGATTATACTTAAAAGTGGTTGCACATAGCCCCCCACTCCCTCGGAAGCCAGTGGTTAAACATTTACCAACACATTGTTGCTAACACAGTATTTTTACTGGCCACAGAGAGTTAGCTGAAGTTTGTGGAGAAATGGAACAATCTAATGCTGTGGGATGCAATTTGTGGAAGGAGATACTGGGGTTGCAACATACACTTGATGAGTTCAGGCTACAGAAACTATGGAGGAGAAAAAGCCATGAGAATAACTTTATGCAGAGGAAGCATGCTTGTATTGGAGCCAAGGTGAATACCTGGATCTAAAAAGCAATGGTAAATCTTAATCCTGATATAGGAACTCAAGTTGTATTGTGTGAATTTCCCCATTTCCCTCGGAATTGGCAACTTTTCCCTAATGTGTGATCTGATAGGAGGTAGCTCCTATTTTGTGACTAGGGTGGCTTTGTTGTGAATGATTATGTTGATAATTTATTTTCCTGTGAATTATCATCCTATTCTGTCTTAATAAAGTACTTTGATATTTGATTTGTAATGCCCAGATGATCTATGAATACAGAGTATGCATTGGAATAGGTGCTTAAATTACTTTTGTACAATTAGAATTACCTCCAATGCCTTAGAAGTTTTAAGGTCCCAGGGTTGAGTGGGACCCTTGGTTACATATCATTTGGTCACAGTGGAGAAAAAAAAGGGTTAATGATTGTTTTATGAGCCATAATGATTTTATACCATACTATGATTTTCATGCCATCCTATGAATATAGTTGGGCTTCTGGTTCTAGATCAGTATTGACAAATTAGAAATAGAGAGGAGACATGAAAGAATTTTCTCTAAGTGAAAAATCCAACAGCCTGTGATGAAAAAAACAAAGCAAAGAGAATTTCATAATTAATTTTTGTATTTGGCAATTAGTAGGCTATGAGTATTCATTAGCCAGAGATGAAATTTTCACCTGAATTATGCAGACTAGCTTGTGTCTGGCATAGCGGATAGAATGCTAGATTCCAATTTAGGATACCTACCTTCCAATGCCATTTTTGGTATGTACTAATTATTCTTATTATCTATTGTCTCTCCCTCTAGAATGTAAGCTCCTTGAGGGCAGGAACTGTTTAATTTTTGTCTTTGTAATGGATGTTTGGCATGATGGAACTCCCTGGACAGCATCTTTCCACACGGAGAACCTGGGGCACCTGTTTCCACAAGAATCATAATTATCTTTAAGGAAATGTCTTAAAGAGATTGTGGAACATTCATAGACATTCTGTGATTGGTTGCCATCAGCCAACCATGTGTTGAAGAAGAGGGTCTTGGATTGATTATGGAGGCATTCAAAAAGCTTCGTCAGCCTCAGCAAACTCCTTTATTTGGTGACTTCTCAATGTAAGGAGTCTTGGGAGGGACCATGACAACCTGGAATGTTCTGAAAAGTCAGAAGAGCAAGACAGAGGAATCTCGGAGTCAGAGTACAGGCTGGGTTTCTCAAATATCACAATATCAATGTCACAAGGAGCAAGGAGTGACCTTCAGGACCCTAGCCTAGCAGTAGCTGAGACTCCAACTCATCTGGCAGTCATGTTACACCTGTAGATAAGCTGGTGAGACCGCTGCTAGGTAGGAACTGAGCTAAATTTTGAGCTTAATCCCCCAGAGACCAAAATGGTGTAGAGGAGAGTGTGCCTTCAGGTTTTGAGTGAAGGGTGGATGTTTGTATATTTCCTGTGGTTATATATTTGAAGTAAACATCCCTTTGTAAAAAAAAAAATCACCAAAACAACAATCCATGTTAGGTGGTTAAAATGCAACTGTTCCACTACATATAGGCCCCTAACACTGGGAGAACACAGCCAGTTGGAGCTTAAGCCAATGGCAATAGGAAAGAAAAATACCCACCAACTCCTTGGAGTGCTTAAAAACCCACATGTAGCCTTTCTAGCTTTTTGAGAAAGAGCCAAAGCATCTTTCTACCCCAAATGTCCAACCCTGTGCTTGGCACATAACAGCCACTTAAGAAATACTTGTTGGTAGATTGTAAACAAGTCACTTAACCTGTCTCTGCCTCAGTATCCTCATCTATTATCTGCCAACCTTACAGTGTTGCTGTAGGGATTGAGCTTTGTAAAATATGGTACAAAAATGTTCCTTCCCCCACCTTACCTCTCCCCTTGGTTTCCTTGAACTACTGGACAGATCTTTTAAAAGATTTTTTTTTTTGTGGGGAGGGGTGGACAGTCAAAGTTGAGAATTCTAAAATTAGCAGCACCAGCTTCAGTGTGAGATCCATACCCCCAACTCACTGTAAGTCTCTACGGTCTTCCCACTTTGCTCTGCTCTGCTTTTGTGAGCAGGTCAGGCTATCAAAGAAGGATCTGTTTGCTTGAAGAATACTCTCAGGAATTGTGTCTGCCAGCCTTCTTCAAGAGGGCCATGAAATACTTTCTATTTCCAGGTTACATAAGAGATGAATCATATTAGAAAAGAACCTTATCAGGTTGAAATGCTGTTTACCCTTCCTCCTCTCAAAAAAAGTTTCAATGTAGAAATTTCATTTTTAAAGTTAGGAAAGAAGGAACACGTCTGGAAGGGACATTAGAGATCATCTGATCAGTCTTCATCTATTTCTTAGTAAAATGAGGCCCACACAAGTGATGGGACTTACTGAAAATCAATACTGCAGAACCAAATCTAGAACCCGGGAATTCTGATTTCCAATCCAGTAATTCCAATCTAGATAGAAAAGACCCTAGAGATAATCTGATCAATTTACAGAAGCTCAGTTTGAGGCCCAGAAAGGCTAATTAGCTTGCCCAAGCTCACTCAGGATTCAAACCTATGGTTTCTCATTTCAGATGCATTAGTTAGCTGTCCCATTACTCC